CTCTTCATCTTGATGATGTGCGGATGGGTGGGGGGAGGGAGCTGGAACCGGTTCTAAATGGCACTGTAGATTTGTGGAACCTCTTCTATGGAAGAACTGGCAGGAACCCACCCCTGGTTTGGAGGGGGGATTTTTTGTAAAGCTTACCTCATTTTTCTGTGTCTATTTCCATTTTCAATATTTTTGCAGATATCATTGTAATACTGCAACTTTTGTAAGGCTTATTTCAGTCTGAGGCAGCAGCAAGCAGTTTCAGATGGAGCAGGAAGACAGGCATCCAGTAGAAACCACAATGACATCACCATGGAAATAATGCAAGGTGTCATGACATTAAAATGTGGGTGTTATCCCTTATCTCCCCCTTTCCCAGAGGTGGCATTCAGCAGGTTCCGACCAGTTCTGGAGAACTGGTAGCAGAAATTTTGAGTAGTTTCTAGAACTGGTAAATACCACCTCTGACTGGCCCAGTGCCCATCTATTGTCTGCCTCTCGAGTCCCAGCTGATCAGGAGGAAATTGAGATTTTACAGTATCCTTCCCCTGCCATGCCACCAAGCCATGCCCACAGAACTGGTAGTGAATAAACTTGAATCCCACATCTGCCATTTCCCTACCGCCTGCTCCCACTAAGGACACTTGTATAGAACACAGCAGGCCCATATGATTCTTTGAAGTCTTTTCAATTTGGATTATTCTTTTCCCTTAAAAAGAAATGAGGATTTGGTATATAAAGAATTTCACCTAAAAATGAATTTAGGGAAAACTACAAGCATCCAATATTTTTTATGTGGAAAGACTTCTGTAAAAACAAAGGTAATGCATACTGGGAAAACATTTTTGAGATAGCTAGCAATGTGTGAATAAATACATTGAATGAGTTTATCCTCTCTTTCCAAAGTGTTTTTTTTTGTTGTGTTAATTTTTCAGACATTGCTATTATCCTCATTTTAACTATCCCTGATCCAATTAAAGGTGTATTTGAGTTTTCCAGTCTTTTGCAGTAATGAACTTGGCAGCTCACAACAGGATTCAAATCCATTTCTTATCCTCTATTCACTTGTCAGCTTAGGCAATACCAAAGGTAAACCAATAGCAGATTTTACTTGAACAATTGTTGCAGTGCCCTGGCAAGGCCTTTTAAAAAAAAAAACATCTGAAAAGGCTGACTCAACCATTGAGATCAAAGATGGGGTATTTCATAATAACCTGCTTTCAATTCCCCCCAAAAGAATCTATAGAAGATTACGGTTCACTTTGTACAGTTTTAATAGAGTGAATGTTATCTATATTGGCTATCTTCCTGATCAATTCTTGATGAGCTGCTGAAATAAATTTAAAAGGAATTCTATGCCAGAAAGAGTTGCAATGAGATTCTCTGGGTTCAAACACTGAAACATCTACCCAGAGATTTATCGACTTTCAGGAAAAGCAGTTTTTGGATGAGGTAAGAAATCAGGAGGTAAGCTTTGACTATATTTTCCTCAATATATTTTCTCCTGATTTCGAGGTGGGTTCTCTCCTTCAATAGTTTCCATCCATTGCTTCTTGTCCTGTCATCATGTCCTTTGGAGAATAGGTTGACTCCCCTCTTCTTCGTGGAAGCCGTTCAAATATTGGAACATTACTCTTAAGTCACTCCTAGTCCTTCTTTTCATTAGAATAGAACAGTGATAGCTAACCTTTTCCGGACCGTGCCCAATGTGCATCCATAC